ACCTAAAAACTTTTTGGTTGTTCTCTACCATGTTTTGCGTTTCTCCAGTACTCCAGTGTAAAATGTCTATTAAACATAATTTATTTAATATATTGGCTAATTTGATCATATTTTTAAGTTTCCAATTCAGTATTTTACCATTTGAGTCTAGATTTTGCATAAAATCACCAGTGTGCAAGTAGTTTTTTTCACGGTATATTTAGCAAGTTTTCGTCATCTCGTAACTTTGCAAATCCGTGCAGTTGCATTTTATTGTGATTGATTGCGATTGTGTCACTTCCCAGTGATGTTACTATGGGACGCTTCTCTTATTGCTAAATAAAAACGTGTCACAGTTTAGTATCTGCCGCACTCTAGCGTGTCAGCGTTGAAGAATGACAATATATACAGTCTGCGAGAACAAGGTCAAAACACTCAATCTTGAAATATATGGAGACACGCGCACACACGCACACACGCGCAGGCGACATGTAGACACACACAGACTCTCTCTGGACGTAAAATAGAGGCTGTTTTACGTTAAGTCCCTGGCAGATTGTGCTTAACATTCTCTTTTACAAATGAGGGGTGAAAAAAACAACTAAACATGATGACCAGCCCAAGGAGCTTTAGATTTATCATCCATCAAACGCAAACCCTTCTGTTCATTCACTCCGCTCGTTCGGGCGCGAGGCGGCCCGAAAAGCATGCTAGCTCATTAGCAAGTACATTTCCCTTTTATACGAGCGGCTCCATAATTCATAACGGTCCCGTATGAGACGTGAGCCTGATTTGATTTAACGTGCTCAGTTATGCTTGAGTGCTAAACAGCGTTCGGCCCCCCTCTTTCCATTCCGGATGGATAGAACAAACAAACAGAAAATGGATGACAAATGAAGACGTAAGCAAAACACTCTGCCACTGACATACGCCAGGCTTCCAGATACTCACACACACATACACACACATGCGGTGAAAAGCAGCGGTGACTACGGCCATATCCAGCACTTACACTCTCTCTCTCTCACTATCCGTGAGGTCAGTAAGCAGAATTGGGAAGAAACGGAGAGATCAATACAAATTATCCCTGAGCAAACCAGCGCTGACAGCCTGAATTGCAGCATATGTTTACCCAAAATCGGGCAATTTATCTTAATATCAGCAAAGTAATGCGGAACAGGTGAAAGGTCACCTACTCTCCCCACCTCATAATTACCCAGCTCTAAAACAGGAAAGTGCTATTGATTGGCCGAGCCCGGGGCTGGGGGGCCGGCTCAAAGGCCAGTGGGAGGGGCTTAGCCTCAGGCCTGGGCTGGAAGATATGAAAAAACGAGAAAAAGAGCTTTACAGTACAACGACGTGAGAGTGAATGAGAAGTGAGATGCTTGCAGGAGTCTGTCTGGATTTAAACTGTTATTGCTCAATCTGTTCTCCATATTTCCCAGCTGGCCCAGTAGCACGGATCCCCCCCCCCCCCCCCCCACACACACACCAAAACCACATCTGTTTCTTCTTCCATTCATTTCTCTGTCATTTGTATCAATTTTATGTGTTCGGAATTGCAACAGTACTCCCCTTATAATTTTTTTTTTTAGCATGGTAACTATAGTTTCCACAAAAATATCATGGCTACTAGAGTCCTTAGTGATGTTTGATATGGGACTTAAGTGCACCATTTGTGCTACAGACATGAATGACACCTTAAATTGTGTATTACTTTACACAAAGTGATCCGGCATTTGGTATTCACTTGGTGCGTGATAAAATTGGTGGAAAAAATCCAATAGATTTACATTGAGCTATATCTAGAGATCAGAATATTTTCAGGGTGTACGTTGTATTACTTGGATCAGTAAGTAACCACCTAAAAACCATGCAAAATGTAGATGTTGTTGCTACTTGGGGGAAAAAGAAAATATAAATTTTAATTAATTAGTCAATTTTTTTTATCATAACTAATTTTAAGGCTAATATTAAACATTTATATTTTAGCTCTGCTATTTTGGTATATATGATTTTATAGGCATTTTTTCTGATTTATTTATTTATTATTTTTATAAACAGTTATTGTAGCTATGGTACTTTGCTAAAAATATGATTAACATTTAATTTCTTTTTTAAAATGTATTTATTTATGTATTCATGTATTTATTTTTTTATTACTAATTTAATGGCTAATATTATATTTATGTTTGAGTTATGTTATGGTATTTTGCAAGAAACTAATTACAATTATATTTTCATTTAATTATTTAATAACTAATTTGCTTATCAAGTTTATTTACTGTCTGTCTGTTTGTTTATTTATTTATTGCTATGTATTGCCAATCAAACAGTTGTATTATAGATATGTTGTAGTATTTTGCTAGAATCCATGATTACTATTTAATTATTTTATGTTAATTGATTATTTTTTATGACAAGTGCTATGGCTAAAATCAATGCTGTTGCAGTTATGCTATGGTATTTGGTACAATAAATTGTGGTTACCATAGTAAATCAGTGTGTTTTTCACCCAGCTGTAGTTAATAATTCCTGGTGTGTTTGAGGTGGAGGATCTCAGAGGTGAGAGACTGTCTTGCGCTAATGAAGGTCTCACTGACCTCTTTTACTGCATTAGCATCAGATCAATAACTGAAGAACGTTTAGCGCCCACTGTTCCGATACATTTATCAAAGAGCACACATTCCTTCATCAGCAAAGCCTCAATGTCAGAACGCAGAACAACATGTTGCTGCTCGGGGCTGCGCTGTGTGAAAGTGCCATCAGAACGGCTGTAAATCTGCCCACTTTTGGGCCATATTTAATGTCACTGGGTACTTTTATTGTGTGTCCCAGGGCAAATACACATCCTGAAGGGCTAGTGTCAAAGTGTATGATCCATTTGTGTAGTTCCAGGCGCCAGACGTGAAAAAACGGGCCAAAATGATGGATACCCTCATATGGGCAAATTCAGGCATAATGAAGTGCTGTAATACAAACATTTACATCTCGGAGAGGTGGAGGGTGTCCGACTAGGAACGACAGATGAGACGAGAAGGAAAAGGGGAGGTGTGCGTGAGAGAGCTACATCCTTGTGAAAGCCATGTCATGTAAAATCAATACGCCCGATCAATGCTTTATTAACAAGCCGACATCTTACTTTGGATTCCTGCACGCTACTTTGTCTTCAGCCATGCAAGATGGCATGTCAAATAGCATCACCGCTGTCACACGATGACACGCATACGTGTGTGCCAAAACACAAGCGCTGTCTTGATATTGATCAGATCAAATTGATTGGTTTGCCATCCCTACTACACTTAGATGTAATTGTAGCACTTCATCATAAAGTCACCCAATTATTTCCAGGAAGTTCCTGTCTAATATGCTCATCTTCTCCTCTCAGGCTGTCATCTCTCATTCTCTGCTTTAGTTCTTTAGTTGTTTCTCCCCGTTTCCGTCAGAGTTCAGCGGCGAACAGCGTGCTGACTAAGGGGAACAGACAGATTTGATCTCTCAAAAAGGAAAAGCGCATTGATTCATACGGCCTCATCACTGACAATGACATCTACATTCATGTCTGATAATATTTTTATGCTGATGTTCTGCTTGCTTTCCTCTTGTGATCTTTTTTTCCTTCTGTGTCATTTTTTATGTCCATTCTAATATAGCCACAACCAATGGTATGCATTTGGGGGCGGGGCTATCTGTATGTCTGGCCAATGGCAGATTAGTGTTCAGGAAACCTGTTTGAAATCAGTCACTATTATTTGTGCATTTCTGTTTGTTGATGTTAGTGACAGAAATTACACACATTTATGGTCAAGTTTATGTTATGGAAGAGGGTACATTAAATCATATATCTACATTAAGTCATATATTTAATTCTTTTCCCCCTCATCTGGTCCAGTTATGTCATTTTGATTAAACGTTAGGTCAAAAAAAAAAAAAAAAAAAGAAAAATATGCAGAGATGAGTTATTCACTATAAGATCTATAATATGAATTTAGACATTTTCAGAAAATGTCATGTTAACTTTAAAAACCAGCTGCATTGCAACAACTTGACAACCATCGAAACAATCATAGCATTGTGTTGACAGTTTTTGCATGGGCAAATACTACTCACTATTAATTTAAAAATATTTTATGCAAAAAAAAAGACGCCCTAGAGTGACACATTTGTTGAAAATAATTTCCCATGCTTAAAGTCTAGTGTGACCGCAATAGACCTCCATGCACTCTTCTAAAGCTTGTTAAACACAATGCATGCGGTAGTAGGAAGTTGAGATTATGATTCATGCACTTGTATACGGAGCAGCTCTGTCTGATTTATAACCTGAGCACTTCATACTCAAAATTCCAATTTGAGAGGGAGGGAACATGTGTGTGTGCGGCATGTGTGAGTGTGAAAGAAAAGATTAATTACTATTTGTGGCCAGCAATTTCATGAGGCCAGCCCCGGCACAGCTGTGAAATGATAGCGCCCTACATCAGTTTGTAGTCAACCATTCACAGATTATTAAAGCTCCATAAGATGAAGTGTTCCTCCTGCCTGCTTTGCTTTAGCGCACGATGGCGGAGAGAGTGCGAGAAAGAGGGATAAATCTGAAGGGGTGCAATAGCCAGACATATGTCATCATCGCCCGTTGCCCATAAATCCAGTGGGTGCTTCAGGAAGCAGGACTGATGCAGACTTCACAGAGTTGACAGTCGCAATCGAGCGTGTGTGTGTGAGTTTGTACGAGCGAGCCGGTTTCATTCATAATGTATCAGCTAACTCCTTCAAATTTATCTGATCAATTATAGGCCTCGTTCTTTCAAATAGGAGCGGTGATAGATGTGGCTCTGACGGAGTATTGCACAGCACGTTATTACCTTTTATTCAAATGCTCATACCTATCTGGAATAAAATGCATGATGGGTGCATACATTCTCAAGAGTGAATGTAATAATATTTATGATGAAAACACAAATCTATTCATTTGTTTTGCCTGCGCTGGATGCTAATGGATGGCGTTTTCTTGTTTTGCGGTTTAGCTTTGAATGAACCAACTATTGACTACGGCTTCCAGAGACTGCAGAAGGTCATTCCCAGACATCCAGGTGATCCGGAGAGGTTGCCCAAGGTTAGTGATTCTGTGTGTGTGTGTGTGTGTGTGTGAAAGAGCTATTTATCATAGAAATGTCAAAACGGGAAACAATTCACTGGCTAGATGAGCAAGTGCATGCAATCGCTTTTGGCAAGTCATCACTATGCAATCCGGCGTGTTTGGATTCCGCCGGAATCGTGCAAACTTTCGGCACGTCGAAATGGTTCAATTAAGTATTTTTCCACTCCAGTAGGCTGTGGCGATTGTAATCTAAGCAGAGGCCTTTTTCAGATTTGTGATTATTTTGGTCTTGTTTTCCTTTCATTTTCCAAAGCTAGATCCAGTTTAATCTTTTGTTTACAGAGCTTTCCGTTAAAAGTCCTTGTCTTAGCAGGTTAATAAATTAGTTCTGCGCACGTTAATATGGGCAAGCCCTCTCTCTGGGCTTTTTAGCTTCATTTATTTATTTTCCCCCCACTTAAATTCCACAAACCATGCAGTTTGCCTGCAGTTCCCATGTGGTTGACACGTATCACAGTTCTGTTGTTTTGATGTGTGACATGAAAGACAAAGCATGCCTGTTGGACCTTTTCTATTTCCTATTCTTTGATTCGTCCCTCCTTTTTTTTTGCTCATTTAGCTTTGATAGGATCTATGACTTGTGCCCGGCTAATAGAAAACGTGCTAATTTCCCATCTGAGAGTGGCGCGGCGCCAAGGGCTTTTCTTAATAATATGTTAAGAGATTATTCTGTACCCTGTTCGTGGGTGCTCGGCGAGAGCTGACCACCATGGAGGCCTAATAACAGATATTATACAAATATCTATTAAAGCCCAGCATGGGAACAGCCGCTATCATTAACTTCCGCTGAACAGCTCTGGAATGGCGTTGTCTCAGCGCTAGTGTCCCGCAGATATGCACCAAACTAAGAACCCATAAGACTTTGCCCTGCGCCACATGATGTGTTTCAATTACACTTGGCTCTCTGTCTCTGTGGAGGCCAATATCTGGACAGGAAATCTCATTCCAGTAAATGCTTTAAACTATCCATTATCCAAAAAAAAAACATTAAAGCCATTCTGCTTGAGCATTTCTGAAGCTGGAAAGAAATATATTTATTTATGTATTTATGTATTTATTTATTTAATTTTATTATTACTGTTATACTTCATAGATTGTATTATATTAAAATAAGAAAAATACAATAGCATGCAATTAAAAAAAGATGGAAATGTTTTTTTCCCCTTGATGTCCATGCAATTTCACACATCTCAATTTATTTGTATATTTTATCATATCAAAAGAAGAAGATTCAACAGCAAGAATAAAAAAAAAAGTGACTGATATGGCATTTTTTCTTAAGTGCATGTGATTACATGCCCCGATTTTTTAAAATACTTTTATCATTATTATTATTATTTGTATATTATATTAAAAGAAGAAAAACACAACAGCATCAATAACAAAAAATTAATGGAAATGGCTTTTTTCTTTACTCAAGTGCATGCAATTTCACTCATCTCTAATTCAGGTAAACCCTGTGCACAGGGCCATCACACCAGAGCAGTTCCAATAAACAACATAAATATTTGATTTTGGCTTCTAATGGACCCAAATGTGAGTTCAGCAGCATGTAAATGAAAGTGCCAAGTGATTCATCATAGTTACCGCAGCCGTCTGCACCTCTATCGTGTTCGAGGGTCACAGCCAGCTCCACGCAAAGCAGCAATTGACCCTTACACATATTCTCAATAAGAGGCAGAGCGTCTGGGAGGAGCGGCTGCATTCGATGTTACGGGCGGGAGACAGACCATCGTAATAAGAGGTTTCGGGGGGAGGGATGTACACAGTGTGTTAGCAATAAGGTAAAGCCGTCACACTCGTGCTCGCCTGCTCGACTCCGCTGTAGAGTTGATAATACACCCCTGATATCGATTCCTGGATTTTTTTTTTTTTTTCCTTTTCCTTTCCCTTTTCCTTCCTTCTTTTCAGGCAGGGCTCTACAATGCACAAGGTCTGATGGGGGATCTTAGCCCGACAGAAAGCCGATATGGCGTGCATGTATTGCTTTGGACATGCAACTACTAACTATTAACATTAAATCTCAAGTATTTCTCAATTGTTTTACTTTTTATAGTACCAATACTTTAGACATCCCTAACATATTCATACTACGAGTTGCCCGGAACTGCAGTTTACCTCCCTAATTTTAGATCAAATCAAAATTTGCTGCTCGATCCAAGGGGAGGGGCGTCCAATGAACGCGTTTATATACGAAGATGGCGAGAGAGAGTAAAAAGCAATATGTGAAGTCACTCATGTGATAAGGCAGGAGATTGCTAAAGGGACCTTTCAATCCTCTTTCTTTTAAGTCCTTGTTTGAAATCAGTGTCATTCATTTGTCTCGATATAAGGCTGAGACAAACACTGGAATGAAAATCTGATCAGGCTCCATACGTTCGCTTACGTGCCATCAAATAATCTTTATTGCGAATCATATAGTGGTAACCTGTCGGCTGTAGACTCGCATTCATTAGTTCCATTAGCCTCTTTGCATCCTGTTTCAGCTGGCAAACACCAATCTATTCCGCTTCCCGTTCAATCTAATATCCAAGAAAAAATTATTAGAAATGCATTCATGTTGAGCAATTACCCATGCATTAAAATTCATCTTCTCTCTCTTGGCTTTTGCGAGGTAGCTACACGTATCGGACCCGCACTTCTCAATGTATTCATCACCTCAGGCAAGAACTAACAGAATAATTGCTTTACACTTTTATAATGACATTAGCACCTCCAGCCCCTCACCTCACTTAGTTTCTTTAACAGTGGTGATATATACCACTCACGATATTCAAGAGTGATAATAACAAGTTTTCCATTTAAACGATTCTCATCCACCGGCGGAACAATGAGCTCTTGTAATAATATGCTTTCGCATTTGTCACGAAACAAGCCCTGGGATCGTTTCGGGCTTAAATAGTTCCCGGTCTAACCTGGAATCTCGTCTCGATGTTGAAAAAGAAGAGGAGTCAATTACACTTAACGCCGCCGCTCTGAAATTTACATGGAAATGCTTTTCGAACACCGCTCACCGCTAATCATATTCTCAGCGTGAGGCCGCGAGGATGAGAGAGGCATGCTGGAACAAAACAAACTCATTCACAGTCTCCTCCGCCGATTGGCCGACGTGTTCACCACGCATAGGCTCCCACTTCAACGCGCGCTGCTAAATCTGGTTCATTAGGAAACGCACCTCATGGCAAATGACAGATTAGAGTTGAGGGTATGCGTCGTTTGCATAAACTATCCTTACGCCTCCTCCTCTTGGCCGCCATATGGACGAGAAGTTCAAGTAGGTGTTGGCCGGGGCGAGGTTTCGGCGACGTTAATTGCGATAATCGTCGGGTGAAATTGGGAGGCATGTAAGACGTCTTGTGTTATGATGACTGAGGTGATGAGTAATTATTAGCGGCTCAGAAAAACACTTAATCTTGCTTAGAGAGAGTCGAGAGCTGGACTAGGACAGCTGGGCCTTTCATTGACACTACCTGCTGAATGACAAGTGTAATTCTTTATTTGTATGCAAACTAGACACATGCAACATGAAACACAGCCCCCAATTTCAGAAGTAAATGCCCATTTGAAGAAGCAGTCATCTGGTTAGGCTCAGGTTTGGAGTGCGTCTCTATAAAATGCACAGGCCTGTGATTAATCTTGATAAATAAGGATCCAACATGGCGCTTGTGCATGGGAATGAAATAGCCATCGAGCCATGATGAAGGCGCTCCGCGCTTCGCACCCGTAAGGACAACACCGTGAATGTGGTTACACTCAAACTCGACCTGCAAATCGATAAAAAGCAAGTCAGCAAGTTCAAGACATGCTAAAATGCGACAACAATATAATGTAAATTCCCAAAAAGTAGCTCTTGGAAGAGGAAAATAAGCGGCAACCTGTGCGAAACGCTTTGGAGTGCCTGCTGCACACACTTCGTTGGCAGCTTAGGTGTGATTTTTGAAGGGAAAATAAGCGGCAACCTGTGCGAAACGCTTTGGAGTGCCTGCTGCACACACTTCGTTGGCAGCTTAGGTGTGATTTTTGAAGGGAAAATAAGCGGCAGGTTAATCCTTGTTGTGTTATAAGTCGGGGAAAAGCTTGCAGACGGGGATAAGCGAGAGTTTCCAGCGTCCGTGTCCCAGGGCACAGCCTCTCAGCCCGCTCTGGAGAGGAAGTCGTTTATGAAGTCCTTTACAACAGCCAGAGAAAGAGGGTTAATTGAAAAATTTCCTAATGTCATTATGAAAGAACTAGATTAACCCGAGCTAATTCACTTTATTGTCTTGAAGAAAGAGGAATGGGCATTGAACTCCTCTGCAAATTTGGGGCATGAATTAGGGGTGAGATGTTGTCTTTGAGGACTCTGCCAGTTTAATTAAGATATGGAAAATGACTCATTGTTCTTCTGAGCTAAAGTGCATGGAATTAGCAGGCGAACGCGGCGTCTGTGTTTGAGTCGGTGCGACATGCTAGTGTTTGTTTGTTTAATACCCACAAGGCCACGTCGTTGAAACGCAAGTCTTTATGTTGACTCATTTAGCTTAAGTTACACACCACTTCACTAGTCTAACTAAGTCAAATGAAATGTGACTAAGAAATAAAAGAATGCATTTGATAATATATAATTAAAAACGTTTTATTTCCGCTCGTCAGCTTGTGTATTTTTTCCCAACCAGAGATAAAGAGCTTATAATTTACCCAAACCCACATGCACTCTTATTGTTCATGTGCAGTGTACTGGCTGATGGTGTTTATACGTCTTTATGACGTATAAACTGATAAACTTTATGATTATGTTGCATTCTGGTTGTATATTGCAGGAGGTGTTGCTAAAGAGAGCGGCTGACCTTGTGGAAGCGCTGTACGGGATGCCACACAACAACCAGGTACAAACTCAAGCTAATGAAGCACATTTTCTCTTCCTTTGCACGGTGGATGTAATTAAATCAGCATTGGTCTCCTTTTGCTACATTCCTGTATGTTTCAAAGCTAGCTGGGAGCCTTTGTACTGTAGCCGGGTGAAAGCTTGTTTTTTTTTTCTTTTCTTCTGCTTTTTCACAATTTAATTCCTGGCTACGGCTCTTGGTGCAAAGTGACGAGTTAATCACTCAAAACACATGCGCACAGCCATATACAGGCTTATTTAAATGGGAGGATAACCTTGAACTTGACCCTAAAAGGTGCACTTCTGGAATATATTCTACCGAGTGGTCCAGCTATGCTTGAGAGGTCTAATACATATTCAGAAGAAATGATCCATTACATTATTTTCCCCCAGTCGAGTAGCACAGAGGTGAAGACACTGCAATCCAACTACAGCGAAACAAATGCAAACGTCCTGTCATTTATGTTTACCTACAGACAGAAAATCCATATTTATATGTGTGTGTGAGTCTGTCTGTATAGTAAAAATGCAATTTATATAGATATATGGTTATATATATATTATTATTTTTTTTTATATATATATATATATATATATATAAATGTTTTACATACATTTACACAAGTATTTTAGAAATTATGCCTATTGAGTTCAGATCTCTGGCCTCAAGTTCTTATAAAAACAAACCGATAACTCTCCTTTCTCTGTTTCTGTGTGGTAGGAGATCATCCTGAAGAGGGCCGCAGATATTGCAGAGGCTCTGTACAGCGTCCCACGTAACCACAACCAGATCCCGTCCCTTGCCAACACGGCTTCTCACGGTGGAATGATGGGAGTCAACTCTTTCGGCGGTCAGCTCGCCGTCAACGTCTCAGAGACCTCACAAGGTATGTGGCATGAAGATTAGCATGTAGATTACAATGAACCCTGCGGTTAAAAGCTTAAACCAGACTAAGGTGGTTTACTGGCCAAACTGGAGGCTTGTCAGTGTAAGAGATAATTACCAAAGCCCCTCCAGACAGCCTAACCACTAACCACTTTAGTTGTTCATCTGCGAATATCAAAATGAGTTATACACATTTCTATAAAAATGCTTGCAACGATTAGTGAATATTAGCGAGCTGCTAGCAGCATGAATCATGGCACAGGCCGGCTGCAGCGTTATCTTTCCTGGCTGTGTATAGCATAGATCCCAGGAGGTGCCTGACCCTGTCCCCATCTCTCCGCTGCCAGCCTGCCAGAACACGCAGCGCTATCTCACACACTGCATTTAGCCAGTGTACTGATAATAGGTTTACACCTGTTCCATTGTTGCCTCCACTCAGGTCAGGACAGGGAAAAATCACACTGGAATACATGCTGGGACGCTGAATATCCTCCTTACATACATGGAGGTGAATTTAACGCACAGCTGTGTGGACCGGCCACGTTAACACATTGGGCCATACTCATGAAACCCAAGTAAAATGCATTACTGTGCAAACCGTATGGGGGGGGGATTGTCTAGGCATGGCATGACTGTAGGAACTGTTTTCAAAGAATTGTTTAATTTATTTACATTTGATATATATGTATGTACTAATAAATAGTCTAAAAATAACATTTGAAACTGATGATGGCACCTACCTCAAGAATTATATAGATTCCGAACACTGTGGCAGATTTTGACCGATGTCTTTCCGTCCGCAGTGGGCTACAGTCGCAACACGAGCAGTGTGTCGCCTCGTGGTTACGTGCCCAGCAGCACCCCACAGCAGTCCAACTACAACACCGTCAGCAACAGCATGAATGGTTATGGCAACACGGGAATGCCCAACCTGGGTGTGCCCAGCTCACCGGGCTTCTTGAACGGCTCCTCGGCAAACTCTCCCTACGGCAGTAAGTATCAAGGTAATGACGAGCCCCCCCGCTCTCTCTGTCCCCCACCTGTGCTTCCCTTTCCTTTTGACACTCCTCTGTTGTTGTTCTGTTGGTTGTTTGTTGGTTTGTTTTGTTACCTTTTGGGAATGTGTGCTACTGGATAAAAGGAGGGGTGACTCTGGAGGCTGAACAACCGAGACATTTAACAAATCCGACCAATCAAAGCAGCTGTTGAAAAGCAATTGCAATTATAAAGCAGGCCACCAAAACAGCACCCAAAATCTCTAAAAAAATTAAAATAAAAAAAAATGTTTTCGGCAAAATGACCCAGTCAGAGTCGATAAGAACGCCTATTATCCAGAAAGTGGCCAAGGCAGGACATCTCATATCCCATTCCAACTCCATTTACCTGATGATTTGCTTGTTTGTTTTGGTCCCCCCAAAAAAGACCCGCAACCCAAATTTCCCCCATATCCTCATGACCATTTCTCCCTGATTTGTTTTCATTCCATGAATATGATTTGAAAAAGAGGCGAGGCCCGGCTCTCTTGACTCTTCGTCTGTAAGAAGTGAACTCTCTCTGAGTGGTGACTATGTCTGCTTTGTTGCAGTAGTTCCGTCGAGCCCTACCATGGCAGCCTCTTCGGTCAGCCTCTCTTCAAACTGTAGCAGTACACACGGCATTTTCTCATTCTCACCTGCCAATGTCATCTCTGCAGTGAAACAAAAAAGCGCCTTTGCTCCAGTTGTCAGGCCCCAAGCATCTCCACCTCCTTCTTGCACCAGTGCAAATGGCAATGGACTTCAAGGTGAGAGCCGACTCCCTGCTTTTAGAACGCCCCGCTGTTGCCTCACCTGTTGGGTCGCATTATTGCACTCTGGTACCCAGACGCCACCCATCCGCCATCCCCGCAGCCGCTTAACGAACACGGCCTCCCGCCCGCATCAATTATGCATTAGCTCGTGGATGGGCGGATGGATGGACGGATGAGTGGTCGGATAAGTGCAAGAACGCATTATGCATGCGGGCATGTAGAATGCATGTACATGTGTGGGTGTGTTTACTGATTTATTTATCTTTCATTAATGATTGAGCAAAGTTAAGTGTCTCGTGAGGTTTCGTACTCGAGTGGCTGGGAACGCTGTAATTCGGTAACATCTTGCGCAAACGAAATCGACGCTGCCGCTCCATGAGTCACCGGCTCTTTCGCATTCAAACTGAGCTCGACGTACGTCTCCATGTTCTCTTTACATTGGCGGTAGGCGGCCCCCTCATCCTCGAGTTAAAAATTAATATTTCTTGCAAAAGTAGCGCAAACAACGGATCCGAAAGGGCAGAAATGTTAACGCTTCACCGTCGTCGATCATCCGATGTCGAATAACATCGCCAGAGAGGAACTTAACAGCAGAAGAAGTGATTATAACCCAGGTTGAATGTGATTATAAGAAGAAAGAGCGAGAGGGAAGGAGCTCACTGTATTCTCGGCAGGGCGGCATCGTTCGGCAAATTAAAGACTTACTCTGGCTGTTTAGTGCGCTCGTATTTGCTCTCCGTCAAGGCCCAGTTGTTTGCTTTGAAAACATGTTTTAGCCATAGCGTGTGCAAGCGAGATTAATAATGTTAGACCTAATGAACTGAGAAATTAAAGTTCATGCCGCTACATGCATCTACTTATTAATATGTGGTTTGCAGAAATTAATGAGGAATGCCACAACATCAGATGCCTTGGCAAACTTAAAAGCACTCCAAGCATGACTCTACAAATAAGTTGAAAGTGGCAAAAGAGCTTTCCTCCCGTTTGCCCTCCCTGGCACTTCACTAAACACCTAATTGTGGAAATGAGCGAGTGCATCAATCTCCACGTTCGGGGTGGGCGTGCGACGACCTAGTCCGGCCTTCTTTAGATGTCATGATAAGGAGAGACTGGGGGGGGGAGAAATACAGGCTGACAGAAGAATGCAAATGGTTTTCCAGCATCCACTCGGCTCCGGTAATGGCAGGAGGGAGCGAGGCGAAGATTTCAATTTGGGCAAAGCCGAGGGGTGTCTGGTTGCTGACTGAGGAGGGGAGACCGCGGGTCTACGTGACGTTAGCAGAAGTGACCGTGTTGTTTCTCGGCTGTCAGCAGGGACCCTCTCCTGGGAGTCTGGCCCACTGTTTGCCATTAACAAAACGCTAAGAGAAATATCACACATGTGGGAGCCAGGATGCTTTCTCCTCAAAATGTCAGAAAGCTCCTCTTTCAAAAAGTGAAGTCCTTCCAGCACGTCTTGTCGGTGAAGCACATTTCACTCAATCACTCCCAACCCTCCCCCGTCGGCCCCCGACAGCAACAGCCTCCATTTTACAAACATCCCCAGTGCCTTTCGAGTCGAGTATTTTGTGAAATGCGAGTGACATACTTACTGCTGTGTTCTTTTTTGTCTTCTGCGAGGCGTCTCGGGACCTCCCGTGCTAAAATTGTTTCTCTTTCTCTTGCAGCTATGTCCGGACTGGTGGTCCCACCCATGTAAATTGCACTCCCTTCCCTTGTAAAGCAGCCGTCTCCTCACCAGGATGAAGCATAGTACGTTATGCGGAGAATCCTCCTCAAAGTCGTCATTCGTCATGAAGTTAATCAGCAGCTAATTCTGTTATTCAGAGGAAAAAGACACTTTGCTTCAAAGAGTTTATTCGAAATTGACATGCAAGCGACTTCACAGTTTATTGACTGAATCTTGTCATATTTTCACGATCTCGAAGGGGGAAAAAAGAACAAAACGTACCTATTTTGTATAAACATTTCTGGTTTAATCTTGGCTGTGTCTAGTTCTTGCTATGTGTGGGAAGAAACATTGTGGATATGCCATTTGATGAAAACACTGATAAAAAAAAATAAAAATGTGTAAGAATGTTTCTCTTTCACCGATGTGCTGCCGCTGCACATCTTCATAATGTGAATTCATTTTCCTTTTTTATTATGATTTTTTGTTTATCGGTTTGCTTGTGTTTTTTTTATTTTATTTTTTTTTATTGTGGTAATAAAAAGGGGGCCAATATATACAGAGCCAATAAACTGGAAATAATATAAGATATATGATTTATAAATCAAAAAGAAAGGCAAGGAAGAGCGAACGGTGCGAGGAACCGGCAGAGGAGATCTTATCGTTCAGTTCGTTCGGTGGAAATGAACTTTGTAACTTATTGTAGGTAGAAGTTGTAACTTTGATATTGCAAAACAATTCTTATCTTGCCCTCAACAAGCACACTAACAGAGATGAAGCGCTACTGTCTGTTGGTTAAAAAAAAAAGAAAAAAAAAAGAAAGAAAATATTTCCACTGCTAAAGCTTCCTGTAAAGCGAGTGTGATCTGCAATGTTTTTCAACTTTTTGCTAGCACTGTATACTATTGCATTCTTAGGCTACTGTGAAGTCTGTTTCTTGTACCAGAAAGTTGTCCTTATACCTCTAGCTCCTTACTCCCTAATGTGTTTTGTATGTGGTTATACAATTGTAGACTTTTGTGATTTTGCCAAAGTTGTAGCTAAATATTTATACACTTGTCTTGAATTTTCCAGATTCACTTAAATATTTAGTACAGAGTTTTATTCCTACAGTTAGGAGTAAAATTGTCTTATACATTGCAACACTTTCACACACACATTTGCGGTCACTAAGGGAATTTTTTGTAACATATCGATTATAAATATTGTATTTATCTTTGAAATTTTGTATATTGCTTTCCATCATTTTCTTTGATCTCACGTGCATTGTTTTCCACGGTCGAAATCACGATGAAGGTTTAGCCAAGAATCATCGCCTGCATTCGATGATTTGTACCGATAGATTGTATCGTCCGCGCATTTCATTTGTAATTCAGACTTTTTTTATGCCATCAGACCTGTCCATTTTTGTTTGTTTGTTTGTTTGTTTATTTGCTATTTCGAGGAGCAGTCAAATCCATTGTTTATTTTTATATTAATTTTTAAGTTATCAAAAAAGTACTTTTTTGAAAGAAAACTGTTTGTTGTATAGTCAAATAAATTGTTTGTGTCACCTGGCTGTAATAATATTAGTAGATAAAGTGCATGTCAAGCCACCCCAGGGGGGGAAAAATCCAATTGTGGTTGTAAATTTTGTTTTTGTAGAATGTAAAAAGTCATTTTTACCTGCCACCATGACTTTGCCACATAACTGAACCATGTTTACAGGGATCAAGAAGGAAAAAAAAAAAAAAGGAAAGAAAAAATATCTGCAATGGAAATATACATCAGTTACTAATGTTTATTAAAATATGTCAGAAAAAAGCTCTGTCAAAGGCTTTCCAGTGAATCTCCTGAGAGGAACCTTTCTGCTGTTTTAATGACAAACGTACACCACAGTGAATCTCATTATTCCATTCAGATCAATGGTGTAAAAAGCACAAACATTTTTTACTAAAATAAAAAATAATTATTGTGACCCCTCATCTTTTTGGACTATTTTGTCAGTTTGTCTTTTTCAACATTAATTTTACCCTATTCCCTCAAGTAAAGCAGCATTCAAAGGGAATGAAAACAAATGAGAAGTTAGATTTTGTATCATATATGGACAACAAAGATGAAGATGTTCTATATTGTAAATGTCATTTTGTAAATAACTCATGACACCGTAGCATAGCCGAATCATATCACTTTTCTCTCTCAATGATATTGATTTTCCGAGTCGTGCCAAAATCCACAAATGAGACGCAGTGATTTTTTTTCCCTATCCAAGGCTTTCATTTTGAGCACTTTTTCTTTGCACTTCGGGCTTTGTAAATGTTGTAATGTTTAGCAGTGTGCTACTCTTTCTGTTTCAATCCAAAAGCGGATGTTTCCTCTTGGCAATCGGCACACAAGTTTCCTTTAGCTGCAGGAAGCAAAGGCAGCTGTAGACGGAACGAAATGATGAATGTACAATGTATTTGCTTTGTGATGGCTCAACAAAGCTCGGCCAAGTGGAGGAGCCGGTGAGGTCACCCTGAAAGTAAGAAAAACTCAAGGTTACGTGAAGTGCATTTGTGGATTTCATCATTTCTGCAATCTGGTTTTGTCTTTTAGTCTAATTAAGTACCCATACTCGGAAGATTTCACTAAACTCAAGCTCTGTAAGAACAAATGCCTTTTTTTCTGGCTCATGTATGGTTTATTTGAGTTGTTTTATGGCCACATTTCTACATTTGATTGTACAAAGTTGTTCATTTTACATACTATTTAATTAAAGTATTTCTTGTCTGTGACTAATTTCTCCCTGCGATCTTATTTTTGTCTTTTCTCGCTCTAAAATCAGCCATGCATTAAAAAATTTTAAACAGGGCACACATGCAAAAACAAAAACTAAATCTACAAATTTAAACTGTTCGAACAATTCAATATACAAAACAAAACTAAAACCATTTTCGTTTTTTAATCAGTGATTTTTAAGATCTATCTACTTGCAGTTCTGTAAAAGATGCATACAAACTTACATATGCTGTAAAAAAAAAAAAATAGTATAGAGCATTTTTTCCCTATATTCTCAATATGGATTTCCAGTCATGCTAATATTTAAAAAAAAAAAAAAAAAAAAAAAAATGTGTATGCCTTCATAATCTTTATTTAAAATGTAGTAACTTTTAGGCTGACTTCACGCCAACTGAAGTCAGAGTTAGGATGGTTTTCTAGCAGAATGTTGGTACTTCAGGAAACTGCCTGGTAAAGAAACACACATTTTGTAACTAACAACAGACTTTAGTGCAGCCTCTCGTACCTTATTGCTTAAATGCAATACTTTAACTGGGGGGAAAATGACACAAACATTTGATTAGCTGATTATAAACGTCAAGGCAAGGACAGAGACGAAAAACGCCAACAATTCACAAGAAAAAAAGTCAACCTGGTGCTCTGTCACATCTGATCGGTATAAATTGCCGAAAGTTATGAAGCAGAGCCGGTTAAGATGGCGGCCCCATCTCTCTCTCCGGCCTTGGCCTTGATGTGGCATTGGCTGAGACTCTTACGGCCGGGTGTTTTTGGGTGAGCCGATGACACGAGGCTTTCATCTTCCACTTCTGTGAATTCCTAGAAGAAATGACAGTCTCCAGGGGAGGGAGGCCCTCCTGGTCAACGCACTGATCCCTGAAGAACAACTGCCATTTCACGCCGGACACTCCATGCGCGCTGTTTTGGCCTCGCTCGATAGGAAGCCGGGACATATTTCTCTGCAATTCATTCAGACGGCAGACTTGTGACAACCGCAAAATGGAAAAAAGTCTCGGTTCCATCAACATTTAACAAGACATCATTAGTGGAGTAGGTGCACCTCTTCATCAACACATGATGTGAATTACAACCTGCAGAACCACATGGGGTTTGTCAGTCATGCATGCATCATTAGACGTAGCGCTCGCGGAGGGTGAACGCAGAGGACAGTGCCGGTGCTAACCTTGTTGAAGGTCATTAGTGAGCTGACTGTAGAATTGAGCTTCACTGTCTCTGTCTCATCAGGAAGCTGCTCCATAACTGATTCAACTGGATGCCTCGTTGAGCCCAGTGTTTGAAATGTAAGTTGAGCAATTACAGGCTAAAGGAGCCCAGTCAGATCTGATACCTACAGCAGCTAGCGCTGGGATTCGTGGCTGGATTTAACAGTCAAATGGGCCTTTTCAAGCCGTTTTGGAAGCTTTTGTGCAAATTGTCACCAAAACGGTAGAATAGCTGGTATCGGTTCAATTCTCTTTAGAAAGTCAACATGCTCATGTCTATTGACTTCAATAATCTGACATATTTACAAGTGATGAATAGGGATATTCAGCAAATAAAACACTGGATTTTATCTGTCAGGAAATGTAAAAAGTGGTCAGATGGTTGGATAAGTTTCTCAGAGGCTCCTCAAGTTATTACATGAAAAAAAAAACAGTTTCATTTCAAATAATGTGTTTTGATGAATCATTCATAATAAGGAACATGCATTAAGAAAGTAAATAGGGTAGGTTTTGATTTATTTTGCCAACTCCGCCTCTTTTATCATTTGAATTGCTTAGGAACATTAAACAGCCTACAACTTGGCTAATATTCATAAATGCAATAATTTATTGAATATTGGCATTATGTTTTTCTTGCCACCTTGCTATATGCCTAAGAACAACCTTTAAGAAATTATACTTTTATTTAGCAAGGACAGATTTAAGTGATCAAAAGTGACATTTATAACATTATAAATACAATAATATTCAGCAGCACAACCATTTGAACATTGAGAATAATATTAAATGCAGCAAATCAGCAACATTTCTGAAGGATCGTGTGACACTGAAGACTGGAGTAATGATGCTGAAAATTCAGCTTTGCATCACAGGAATACATTATATTTCAAAAGATATTCAAATAGAAAACAGTTGTTTTGAATTGTAACAATATTTCACGTCATAGTGATTAAATAAATACAGCTTTTCAAGCCAACATTCAAAGCTTGTCTTAACAAGTCAAAAAGAGTGCAAAACCGTGGTAAAATCTATTCAAAATTGTAAAAGTTTTAAACAGCACAAGTTAATGTGTCGCCACCGTAATTTGTTGCAGTCAAATCCATCACAGGGTACCTGGCAACTTTCAATCAGTTAATGCGGTCAAACGGCCAAGGTTATCACTTGTCTAAAAGAGGTGGCGGAACCCTTCATAGTTCATAGTCATGGTCGTCAATCCATACTCATCTGCACAGGCCTAGAAGAATAACCTCCCTGCTTTAAAACAACCACGTATCTTATCTGTCTTTCTGAGTGCCTCCGGATAGCAGGTCAGAAAATGTCAATTTCTCATCAAGACAACGGCGCTCGCCGCGTGTTTTCTTACTCACAATGTGGACAATTAAGGGGAGGCAGAGTCTCTGCATAACTGATTCGCAGGTTATTATGCGGCCGCCCGCTGGCATAGATCAGGGCTTTAGTCAGATAACAGGCCTGGCTGATAGCCACAGTGTCAATATGCCAAAGAAGAGCATTTGAATGTGATCCGTTGTGCCTATTTGCCTGGACCGGGTGATCTGTAGCCAGATAACTCGAGCGTCTACCTGCCGAGGACACTGCACGAGGCCTATCGGTGTCTCCTGCAATTAGCACAATGAACAAACTGGACAATAGTCTTTATACAGGCCCAGAGAATGAAATCGCCTGTTCTACCCTTAAATAGCTTCTTTTATCCGCCGAAGAAATTGCTTCAGAGAAAATCTAAATTATATCAGAGGTAATAAAACATCCCCCAATCAGATTAGGGATCGATTTTTGGTCGCCTGCCATTCGGGCAAACGTCCGCTGTTGGAGACGGCTGCTGCGACGCTGTACATGAGCATCTGTTTCTTTACTAGTATATCAATCTTGTATAACCAAATAAAACAACAAAAAAATGACCACAGTTACATTATAAATATATGAAGGAGCATTTATCATCCTCCAACGCCACTGAAAGTACCGCAAATGCAGATCCTACAGCGTACGTTGTGGGAATTCACTAATGTCCGATGTTTTGCTTCAACTACAGCCCGGAACGATGCAACTATAAGCTTTATGAAGTTAAAAATAATTATTCTGCACTCTATCACCAGCCATAAAGACATGAAGTCGGGTCCGCTGAAGCAATTACGGTGGGCAGCTGCCGAGCTGAAGAGTGCGTGACGCTGCCGTACTGTCCAGTCCTGCCACGTGTTTTTCCAGTATTAAATAAATGCAAGGACAGAACCTTCCACCCGTGTTCTGTTGCGTCTTCATCAAAGAGTGGCCCCTGATCGGCCCCTGCTCGGTCCTCACCTCACTCAATCACACAGAAAGCCTCTTTATTATGGTGGCCTAATGGCCATCCTCTGCCATAGATTTTAATGTGAGCATTAAATATTTATAAAACCTGAGTCAATAATCCTTCATAACCTCAGTCTGGTGGAGACGGCCACTCATTCATTTACTGCGGCCCGTGTGCTCTCAAATAAAGGCAAAGGTCACAAGGTCATGCAATCAAAACAAGGCAAGGCAGGCAGGCAACAAGCATCTGTGGTCATTATTATTATTAGGACAATTAGTTTTGCAGTCACAGCGATTTTGATCAAAGCATGAAGATATTGATCCATGACAATATGACGTTTTGCTTTTTAAACAATAAAAGGTGTCTAAAATGATGTGCTTAAAGGTTCTGTTTATTGGTACCATATTCTAATACAAAATCGCTATCTTCTCTGGAGTCCCATAATGCAC